CGCTAGAAAAAACTGACCGGAGGCCGTATTTCTACAGTTCGTATATATCGGACCATTCAAGGCTACCATCGCCAGTCAGTGTGGACTCCACCGCCCTCGGGTCCCGCGAAACGCGGGAGCTGAGCGTTAGATTTACTTGGGCAAATATCTATCGTGGGTTCGTAGGCAAGGCGGATTATTGCTTGCTGCCACTCGTTGGGATTTAACATCCAGGTGTTGGTGTCGACGTGGATCGAGGGCTGATGGAATTGTGAAAGTAATGTTACATGATTGAGCAAGATTTGTAGCAGCCTTGCGACTAAGATGACCATTATTTCGGTGGAATTCATCATAGGTCATTGTGATGGCCGTTAGGGTTGGTGGAGGAGGTATACGGGTCGGGGTGTTGTGGTGGCCATCGCAGCGGTTTGCGGTGGGAGTAGTGGGGGTCGCTGCGGTGACAGCTGGCTTTGCGGCTGAGCTGTGATGACATTAGTACGAGGCATTGTTGAATTTGTAAGATTCGGTCTATTAAGGCGATAATAATGCTTAGAATAACTAAACGCGTAGGTAAATTCTAAGTATCGTGAAAATATCAAAGTAAATAAACGAAATGAGATATTTAGTAAAGTTAAGTATGCCTCGTGAAAACAGCAATACTCTGAGGGATTGTGAGGCTGAGACATTGCCTATATATAATCCTCTCAGTACTGTTTCCGCCGAGGGATTTTATTTAGTGTTTCGTTGTCGCTCTATTAGAAACTATGGCATGTTTCATTGGGGCGAATCCGAGAGACTCATAAAATCCTATCTTTAGAAAAGAAAAGAAAGAAAAAATACTCTTGATGTCCTGAGTTATTGTCTTAACCAATAACTTGCCACTATCAAGAATTACCGACTTAGCCTTCATCAGACTGGCACATCTGGTTGGCTGATCGGAGGATCAACTAGGTAACGTTAATAGTCCCTAGAAACCTATATTCGGATGAGCCATCTCGCTACCGAAGTATTCAGATATAAATAAAGTTGGAAAGTAGATATAGTTCTATTAATGGAACTAGACCAACTCTTATGTTTGGTATTTTAATGAGGCCTTTTAATGGCCTCATCCAAATATCTGATATGTAAAATGGAAAAGGTATTATTTAATAAAACCATTAAAACCATTTTAGGAAACTTAAGTTCCTCGTGCTATTAAGAGTACATTTAGGAAGATTAAGTTCCTCGTACTATTAAGAGTACATTTAGAAAACTTAAGTTCCTCGTACTATTAAGAGTACGTTTATAATTTACGTACTGCTTAAGAGTACGTTTATAACATAGAGTCTAATGTGGAGGCCTGCTTATCTCAGTATCATATTGTTGACCGGAAAATTCAAGAATGATCCAAGTCCATTTCGAGGTGTGTTTCTCGGCAGTGAACAACATAGAGGTAGTGGTGGGTGGGTTGATGATCACTGGTATGAGAGTGAGGGGGTATGCATCGGGTCGTTGGCGGAATTGGTGAGGAAGGGGGTGTGTGCCGTGTGTCCGGCGGGTAAGCAGTCTGGACGGGTGACGTATCCTTCGTCGTTGGGGGAGGGAGGGAGTGGGGCTTCTGCCTCAATCTGCAAAGCAGAGTCTTCGTCTGGTATATTATCGCTCATAACCTATTGGGACCTAGAAACTTCTGAACAGAATTGGTTGAGATTTATTGAAAATAGTGGCTCATATTTGTACTATCAATAAACTAGTATGAAATTGTGGGTTATTTATTTACCACATGTTGGTGGGGCCATTGAGTAGGTCCCGGGAAAATCTAAGTTTGGGTTATATTCTGAGGAAGAGGTTGACTCGTCTCGAGAGATCTGCCAACAAATCCCACAAGCCGCATAAACTGTAATAAGTTCCTTTAGATTGTGCACACTATATTATACGCTTCTTTCCATTGCTCAGCTCACTTTGCAACGCACCACACACACGAATAATAGTTTAAAGTTAACACGACAATATGGAGGAACAGATGAAATAGCCATTCATGCACGCGTGAATGAAGGGATGGGATTTAGAAAAAAACGACTGTTGATCGACACTCAATGCCTTTCTGGGGTTCAAGGATGCATCATTTGCTTGGCCACGCCTAGAGGATCCCAAATGGAAGCCTAGCGAGTAACTTCAGAAAGCAAAAACCGACGAGGATATACTAAAGGCATTTCATATCACAAACTTGAACCTAGCTATCAAAAGATAATCCAACACATACATGATCAACACATACATGATCGATGGTGTTCAAGAGGAAGAAGTAATTTTTCTACATGCCACGAAGGCGTATACACTGTAATTTAAAAAAAAAATTGGCTGTCTCGGTAGGCCTACAAGGCCTGAAGTCACAATATGATAACGTAGTCAGGAAGGAATAGGCACGAAAATTGGAAGCAAACTCAAGAGCAAAATGAGCATTTGAGGCAGCAGAGATGCGACAAGTTTTAGAACTAAGCAAACCTTCGCTTGGTTGCATTTTCTACGGTGCTTGCAGTTTTCCTTCATTTCTAGAAATGATGACCGTTCTAGAAATGATGACCAAGTACACATACAATTTGACGATATAGTTCATTCTCGGAACACTGGCTAATTACTCCCAAAATCGTGTTGGTCTAAAAACATAGTTCAGAGCAAGAGTCCCCCAAACAATTTATAATATTATCTCTAGCGGCGAATCTAGTTGAGCGAGTACATCACCACTCAGTGCTTACCACTCAGTGAACTCAGTTTCTATTTGGTGAATACAACACAGTCGCAGGGGTGACTATGTCGAATCCACATTTATGTGGAATTAAATTTTCTAACCAATTTCCCATTGCACAAGGTCGCCTGCGTAAGGAATGCGGTATACATAGAATCAATAAATTAGCTACGACCTGGTCGAAGAGACGGAATATAGCTATGAACAACATTAACTTATGCAAGATTGCGAGGAAAGAAACAACAGATATGTGCATACATAGACTCAACTTTTCCTTACCCCGACGCTTTGACACGGATTGAGCTTACTGGTGATTGAGGACTGCGTTCAATCATCAGGTGAGTATTTAATGGGGGTGCTCCCAGGATTGAGTAACATAGGTCTGGATCCAAATACATGTCGGGTACTTGCTACTTTTGCACTATACCTGATGCTCACTGCAAACGATTTAGTATCTAATGTATTTTCTAATTTTCAACAATAACAAATACAGGAAAATGTTGACGTCACGAAAGTTGTGTATAGATCTCCGTTTTTTCATCGAGCAAGTAGGAGACATGTTTGCAGTGACAAATATTGAAATTGGTAGGGGTTGTAATCACATAATATTGTCATTGACTGTACTAAAAGAATAAAAGTTGCAACAAAAAAACCCTCAAAAATATCAATTCAAAGTGTGTGCATGAACATATTGAATACGGTGCGCCTATTTTTATTCATCCCCCGGATATCGAAAACACGACTTTAATACTCTTTCGACGTTTAAACATATCGAGTGGTACTCCGGAACTCATCTCAACAGCTGACCGATGTTAAACACTCTAATTTCACTCTCACGAACAGGCAGGTCTATATTTTGCCATTTCCGCAAAGTCTTGTCGCATGCTTAGTAAAATATATTGCACCAGATTTGTCATACTTGTACATTACTTTAGTCCGCTGGAGTCGCCGTCGTAGTCGCGTCGTAGTCGACCCCCCCCCCCCTTTTTTTTTCTTCTTCCAGCAATCCGATTGTCGTCATCCTCATGGTGATAAACTTGCAGAAAACAATCTGGTTATTCCGAAACCAATATAAGTGGTGCATTGATTAAGTGTATTTGTTGGAACCTCTTCACTATGCTTCACAGTTCCGACCTCCCAATGGCATCGGTGTCATGCCCAGTAGTCATTCATCAATGATATACACTAAATACATAACGTACAATGTAGAGATTCCAGCTCCCTTGTTTTGGGGGGGGGGGGTTTGTTAGGAAAATCATCACATGCCAAGACATCTAAACGCATAGAGTGTAATATGCTGTAAAAAAGTCATCGTGAATAGCAAAGCATAATCTTCACAGAGATGATAATAGGTTGTATGCCAACCTACTATAAAACCATTAGAATTTGCCTTTCGTTTGTGAAGTGTTCTCTGCAGAACCTGCTCTACGCGATCTCTTGGCCGCACAGTAATCCTTCTCAACTTCCCCACACAAATCTGGACACGACCATACAATCGCCGACTCGCTTCCAGGCTCTCAACATAATCACCAGGGTATAACCATCAATCTGTATATAACTCATCTGATACAACCCACAACAGTGCGCCGAGGTCGCGCACGTCTCAATTCATTCTACTCTCGGTCTATCCACTCCACCGAGCCAAGTTTTAACGCCGACAGCACACCTTTCTACCCCACTCTTCCAATCGCAACCCCCACGACCGAATCAGCATGTATTGCCTCTTGGTACACTATCACAACGTCCACATTCTTCCAGTGTCACACCACGCGATGAATCTACACTGTGTCTCTATTTTTTGCCCTACGACCCTGAGACATCCGCCACAGGAAGACGACATGTCACCATAACACATCTATCGATCAATCCACTCACGCAGACCAAGTCTTGCCACTCTTAATATTTGCAGTCACCCAATCCACGTGCTGGCATGAATGCTTGATGATTTCACATAAGTATATACTATGAAGCGCTCACATTCGCATCGACCAAGCGAACACAGTGCCCCTATCACAGGTACAATCATCAGCAATGATTACCCACACTAAATCTGTAATTGCAAGTAAATATTATGGGCAACCTGCTATCTACTAGGCACGTATGGTCGCCCATGGCGACGAGCAAGAGAAAGGTGATACTTACATCTATACCTGTGTGCCTGTCGCTTCCGCGGTAGCCCGTTAGCTGTTAACTACAGTCGCAGCCGTTAACGGAGAGTTCATCAACCACTTCAATGATGATACAGCGCTCCTCTACAGTAAATTAGACAAGCTCATCTTCATCCCTCTAAGGGTACCGTCGACCTTGGTCACTATATCCGCTAACGTGCACCCTTTCTGCTAGACTTTCTCAATATAGATTTTCTCTTGATCCCTTTCAGCTCATATATGCACGAGTGAAACTCGGCTCCCTCGCATATTTTTGGTATACAATAGTAAATAGTATTAGCTTAAATATCTTATTAAACGACAATCGCGTGCAGACAAGTTTCATTTTTTTACGTTTTAACAAACTCCTAGAATCGAGAGAAACGTGATGGTGCTATTTCTATCTTCAAATTGTGCCAACCTCGTCTACGTCCTATATACCAATCGAATAGGTTAGGTATAGTTGTATGACTATAGATGTTCGAGAATTCGTGCACACGTGCGATCAGTTTAAATTGATACAAGTCATTATCTGTGGACAACATGTACGTGTAGCCGACAAGACATGAAATGATCGCAAGGTCTGCTCTAGCTTTCCGTATTTAATAAAAGTATTTTTTGTGTGTGGCAAGTTTCGGTTTCTCGTTTCGGTTTTCCCATCAATCAACCTGCAGCGTGGTGCATCTGATCTGATGTCCATGGTAGCTCACGTGAAAGAGATAAGTATTATTGGCTTGTCTCGTTTCAACTAGTCGACGCAGTGACCACAATCCGCCGAACGGTCAATAGGTGCCAACTATGTTAGGGTAGTTGTACACAGCCAAATATACTGTTCTCAACTGTGGCGACAGCAACTTTTTCAGGCTCTATGTGAGAATTTGATTTTAATCTGTTGAAAAAGCCGGAAGGTTCTACTAATGTAACTACTCCTGAAGCGAGCGCAGCGAACAATATGATGGAGTAAAGAAAAAAGAAAAAAAAGGGTTCCTGTCAGAAGGCGTACCTGAAGAACTCACATCAGTGCCACGGAACAAGGTAAATTCAACTGGAATACGGATGATTTGCAAATTTTCGTAATGTACTACATTTGCGATCCTTTTCAATTTCGATGACATATATGTGCAGCTTACAAGGTATAGAATTATCGCAAGGTAATTATATTGTTAATAAAATGACAGTAGGGAATGGATAAAACTCCAGTCAATCACCACGCAAAGTAAGATGCCTGAATGAGTCACAAATGACAGACATGATTTTATTAAAGCAAATGCACAACAGCAGGATGCGTCGTACGGTCGATATTGACAAGTCCTTTGCCTTGTAACCTGAATAGAGTGGTGTTGATTTCGTTTTCGGACATTTCCGACAGTTGAGCTTGCAGACCACTCTGCAGTTCTGTCCATGCCATCTAGAGTGACAAAAAACCCCAGAAGATATTGCAATGTATCAGGTCAGCGACACATGCAAGCACTTCGACTAAGCACAGAGGCAGTTCAGCAGACAGCGATTGGCGACAGCGATGAATGCACTATATTAGTACGAGTTAATGTGACAGAAGGGATCGATAGGCCATATAGGAAATGAAACAATAGGACATCAGTGAATAAAATACGTTGAAAGTTGAGTTTCCATATAGACACAAGTTCACGCAAAAATTGACGAGATGGACTGCAACCATCACGCGTCGGAAACAGCGTACAGAGAGTAATGTACAGTCACACGGAACCTTATATCCTATATCCGGTAGAGCAAAATCACGGTGTACGTTATATAGATACGAGGAAATCCAAATGCAGGGTGCTAAGGAGTGTACCTTTCCGCCGTTTCGTGACAGGAACAATAGCACAATGGCCGATGGGAGCTTCTGCGATGTCGCACTATGCGCTAATAATCGGAGAGAGCTAGACCTGTTAGTATTGAAATTCGTCTCAAGTAAGCAGCTAGAATACCAAAAGTTTTGGTTCATATACACGTAGTTTGGAAAGATATGTGAATGTGTCATTTGTGCATGAGGAGCAGTTGAGTTGGCAGCGTGTACTACTGTGGTTTCTTGTCTCATATAGAATCTAAGGGTGGCAATAGACCTTGTGGTTTCTTCCATACGAAGCTTTGAAAATTGGCTGAGAATGAGTTTGAACACGCAGCAGGGGGTACGTGGGCGAGATATATGACGTACGGGTAAGTACACGAATGAAGTTGTACGTAACAGACGTTTTTAGTTCCAATGGGCTGTTCGTAAGGTCGCCTAACACCTGTGTTGTTGTTCTTTTAACAGTGCCGACGAGTGATGCAAGAAGGAAAGCACCAAGTAGACACTCGAACATTCTACTGATGTCAATCACAAGCAATACACGTACGGACAAAGATATATACACTCACAACCGTCTCACTTGGATATACCCGAAGATCTCGAATTGCGGTACAGTGTTCCTCACACAAAGCCCTACAGCATTGTTACAGCATAGTCCAAGTCCTAAAAACGTGCCTGAAAAAGCACGGCTTACTAGCGCGAGCGCAATACTGTTTGGCGAATTCAACCAGTTATCAACTAGAACAAGCTCCGAGGAATAGATGTACGCGAGACGAGTATCACAGCCACAACAGTACCGTGGCGTCAAGGTGGCCCATACCAATGTATGCGTATATGCACATAGAACCACCGACATACTCCCATTTTTGAAGCATGTTGTTGTCGACCGTAGCGCTCGTGCGCCTCTCCTTGAGTTTGTGTCGTAACTGGTTGACCTCTGATTGTAATTTGGTCAATGTGGGATTCTGCTTGACCATCTGAGCATGTTCGTCGCTCTGTGCCTGAAGCAGTCGATGAATTTACATCCAATAAGATTAATATCACTGAGATCCTTAATCTGTAGTTTCTACCAAAATACTTATTGGATCACTTGTCCACACAGCGTACGCGAGTGAACTAAAATTTTAGGCATATCGAATTCATACAGGTCTGTATCCAATCAGAATGCCAAAGCAGTCGTAGAATTGCCTTAATAGACACAACATATATCTCCAGCTGAACATGAAACACCAAATATAATCTAACTATAGCACACCGCAAAAAAAAAAAGCACCTTCCTGTTTCTGTGTTTACTTGATTTTCCTATAGTATAGCCTATACATCATGAAATACAAGCACAAGTCAAGATATCATGACCTCGTGAACCAACACTGTGGCAACGCACATACCTTTATATCGGCCTTTAACTGGCGTAGTTGACTCTGCAGTTGCTCCATGGCCTCCGGCAGTACGCTGGCTCGGGCTGCAATGCAATTTACTCTTCAGCATGTTACAAACCGCTCATCAAGGAAGAAAGACGCAAAGGAGCATATGTATACTATCAAGCAAAAATGAGACAAGAAAGCATGTGAATACTATCAAGCAAGAAAGAGGCAAGGAAGCATGTGGATACTAAAAATGAGGCAAGAAAGTATGTGGATACTAAAAATGAGGCAAGGAAGTATGTGGATACTGCTAATATACAAAGGAGAATTTGAAATGCACTTGAACAAAGACTGTAGATGCATCTATACATGAGTTGCCAAGTACGCCCCTACGTTGTTATATATCATCAACTAGCTACAAAGCAACAGCCAACGCCAGAGCCTGCACGGATGGTCTATTCAGCTTCAGAGGTACCACCGGAAAACTACATTCAATTGATATTCCAGCTTTAGTGAACGCGCATGGCTTATTGCTTTGTTGTTGCTGACCACTTACCCTCTAGCACTTTAAGATTGGCATCCATATTGCTGACTTTATCGGTCTCCGTCCGACACTATACAGCAGGCAAGTAAGGACGATAGCCGAGGTGTATGAGCTCTCAATTTAGTTCGCAATTTAGTTCGCAATTTACCAGTAGCTCACGACTGTTCGCCTGCACTTCATGCACTAAATCAAAGACGCCATGTCTGCAAAATAAAATTCAATTTATCGGTAGAACTAATTCGGGCAGGTGTAAGAGAACTACTACAAGCATATGTAAGCCTACCCAGACAGCGCTGACGTATATAGTATACAGCATGTTTTATGTCCAGAAACCCTGTACAGCTTTTGACAGCGGGTGTTTGACTGGGATCAATCAACTGATAAGAAACAATCGCATTCGCGTCCCATCCTGCGCAGATTAATATTGAACTCAACCATCACGTGTGTTTGCTGATGAACTACAACTAAACACATCCTTACTGTAGATAGAAACATCAGAAAACCAGATACGTGCATGTCGTGCAAGCACTATAAAGCTTACACACTACTGGCCACTCACCTTCTCCTCCAGTCGCTTCACTTGTTTCTGAAGTGTGGTGGACTTGTTTTCGTTGTTCTCTTGCCTTAACACCTCACGCAGTTGCGCATTTAGCCTCTCTCGTTCGTCCAGTAGCTGACTGACCTGAGGCCCATTTCCGAAAGTATGATCAATAACTAACAAGAACATACGCACACACAATGTTAGATTCAGTAGTATCACACAATGTTAGATTCAGTAGTATCACATAATGTTAGATTCAGTAGTAGCACATATTCAGTAGTATCACACAATGTTATAGTCAACTGAATCATATTGTGATGAGTTGATCATAATACAAAAAGAATGATCAGATATCGATTTTAAACACACACAAAATGTATTGTCAGCAGTATCGGACCAGTTAATCCCATTGTGATGATTGATCCTGAACTGAGGTATAATAAGATCTTTGACAACGACATGTCCGGCCTGCTAGCGATACGGTGCACAAACACCTGGATGATCTTGATATTGTCGGATAGCACATACAATCCACACAAACATACGAGTGAGCTCTCACTGACACCTTCAGGCCTCGGAAGAAACATATAGAGATATGGAACCATAAAAGTATAAAGTTAAGCCGTACCTTTTCTCGCGCTTTGTTGAGTTCTAATTCGAGCGCTTGAACGGATTTGTGCTTCTCGCTGACCAGAATCTCGAAGTCTCTGGTGCCTCGGGCCTTCTTACGCTCAACAATACTGTCCAATTTGGAGCCTCCGCTCTATGCAGTGTAATGCACATCAATTAACTGGTGAGTGTATCTGACCGAAATGTAAGCGTAAGGGGGTTCTTCAGCTCAACCCTACTGTCCGAATACAAACCGTTACTCTGTATAGGCTTACTGCTCGACGGTTCAGGGAACGCCATGAAACACACCGGTGAATGATATGACATGTTGCTTGAAGATCGCTGAATGCTATGTAGCACACACAATCGAGCTCTCACAATTCTGCAATTGGGTTATCTAGCCGACCCACTGCAGGTTATGAGCGCTGAGGGGTGCACGAGTAGGCCACAGTACTAGAGATGACTAGCAATAAAAACCAATTAGGATCGGCCTCCTGCGTCGGTGGTAGCATTTTCATTGTAGGGAAATAAACCGGAAAAATAACGTCTAGTTCATAGAACACTACACGTTATGTCGCTTTTGCTATCCGTACTACACACTCTTATGACGACTGTTTGTTGGCTTGGTAGGCATACTATAAACTATTGGCAGTGTGTATTCGACTAATTTATTTTGCCACATCTAAAGCAGGCGCTACTCCTTATACGTTTGTTGAGGCATACTATAAGCTACTGTATATCTATAAAGTTCCACGTTCAAATTCCATCTGTAACTACGAACTCTGTTGTAACTGTTTACTGTGACAGAGAGCCTGCACGAATTTGCCCACAGATCTAATGCTGAAACGATAGGAAGTCAAAAGGCGCCTGCAACATCTGTAAGTACGCTAGCGAGATATGTGCAGGTTAGTGATGAATTTATGATAACGTGATCGGTCGGGTTGTTATAAAACTTGTAATGTCCTCCAATTGTGAATGATCCATCTTAATCCCTAAGCCCTGCGTGGTCCATAAGTATGTACGTGTAGCGACAGGCCTATGACCACCCTAACCCATATAGCTTAGCTTTCTATAGATATACACATGATAACTAGCTGAAACTCACCTGCCGCAGTTTATCCTTCAACGAACTAATCGCAGCACACAATTGAAGGTGAGTGGTTTTCATCTGCTCGATCTCTTCCTCTTTCCCTACGCCACTGGACGATATAGGCAGAACAATGCAACACGAGTATCTCAGTAGGCCAGTAAGAAAGAATTTGTAATCGACAGGCATTTCCCAGGGGCACAATAAGTAGAGAGACCATTATTCAATATATGCGTAGAATTGCCTCCAATATAGCAACTTTACACGCAATAGTCGCACTAACAGATTATCATCTTCATACACTTAGATCAGCTACGAGAAGCCCGTATCACTGTCGAATTTAAACTGTAGCACTTTTCAACCACGTTTTTTCTTTGTACTTGCAATGCAGGTTCAGAGATAATCACGAGATCGGATACCATGCCTAGGACTAAAGACAAAGACAAACTGAAAGTGAGCGCTCTTCGAGAGCTCAACGCATCAATTTCAATACATAAACACCCAGCACAACACAGTTGCGTTTAACGAATTTATTGTAAATAATTTTGATACCGGCCACATGTAATTAAAAAAAGCCATGAAATTACTTAAGTTTCACCCGATGATGAATGGCGAAGAGCTCGATTTTTTTTTTTGCAGTCTACAGCACTGTTCATCATTTTTTCCCACAGCCATTTATATATGTAAGTACACTTTGACAACACAAACGTGTCCAATTCGAATCTGGTATTAAATTTACACACAGTGTATACAAGACTCACGAGGTTGTTAATATGAACGCTACGGACAGAACATGTCATTGTTTCCACCTGCAGTTTACTGCTAATTCTTTGTGACTTCTTGAGCATATATTTTACACTATGCTGCCAGCCATAATATTCACTTGCCCGGTATAATTTTCTACCAATAACTTAAAATATTTGACATGGCATATATCCATACCTTTCTATATATATTTCTTCCATAGCGGTGATGATCAGACCTACATCATCAGAGGCACGTGCGCTGGTAACGACCTTCTCTGCGTCTGAAAGCTCCTTGACAGTGCTGGTCATAGCACGCACACCCAGTGAACTACGGCGCCTAATTAGAACAATATAAAATACAGTCGGTCAGATGTGTACGTACGCTACATCGATGTCACGCCGCAATTTCCGTGTACTGGCATATAATCTTAATTGAGCAAGTGCATGTTGATTGAAACCCCAAAAGCTTGCGATTTAGTTGATTTACCAAAAAAAAGAGGTCCTGTGAGAGCCAACGTCAGATTCTAAAGAGTCATGTATGCATGGGGAGGCCCGTTCCCGACAATTTGTGTAGATGTGAAGGTGAATGGTCGTATATCACGATTTCCTCGGAATGAGGTGAACGAGGGCGTGTGCTATGACAAATGATCTCATTGAGCATACAAATTGCCACAGTGAGTACATGCAAGTGCGAATACTTACCTATTTAAAACAGTTTTCCCATTGAACAGGGCATTCTCGATGGATGTACCCGGTCGGCGCTGAATAATCATGTGAGGGTTAAAAAATTAAATACTGGTGGTTTTAAATTATAGTTTGAAATTATGATAGCATAGGGCAATGTATATATATATATACATACACACACACACACACACACAACAACATACACACACATATATATATATATATATATATATATATATATATATATATACTACGATATGATATATATATATATATATATATATATATATATATATATATAATATATTGGCATGGTATTGTAAATATTTACACTTCGTCGTTTCCCTTTGACGTTCAAACGCTGTCTCACAAATACACACCTGTATAGGGGGCTGTATAGCTCCGGATAGCTCTATCGCAGCCAAGCGATCGGACACCTCTACGCATTTCTGCAGTAGTGCGAGTGAGTCGCCAAATACAAGGCACTCTCCCATTTGAAAGGTATGTGTGCTTACAAATTTACGTTTCTATCAGAAATTAACTTTAGGTCCATGCGTGCCTTCAGACAGCCATAGATTGTTTGCGAGCGAGATTGTGGAAGACGGATGCACTCGCACCATCCGCCGATACTCAAAAGCACTACAAGGTATAATTCTACCGTTTTCCAAACCAGATCAGCTATGCAGTAACAATATACATGAAAGGTAAATAACGTCTACTGGGGGTCCGTATTAGAGTTGTGTGATATTAAAAATGGAGAGGTGTTAAAGTATCAGTGATATCATATGTACGTAGTATGTACTTCAGTTTCTTGGGTCGAAACCCTAATATCGAAGCATTATTTTCCCGCCAAAACTTAAAGACTATCATCCGCCAAAACAAACTGACGACGCTCGGTATGTGCATTCCAATCTTCTCGCGCTGATGGAATGCGATAAACAAAAGCACATTGTTCAATTTTCAGAAGGCTATGCTTTTTGTGTGTGCAGCCGATGGACCAGTCACGCCCGCAGTCGAAGGTGCAGGACTTTGGGGCGGACTACCCTCCGTTAATAGAAGTAAAAAAGTTACCGAACAAAGTGTCGAGAACATATCCAAAAAAGCAAGTGTACTTGTATTCGCTCCATCATTATTTATTGGAGGACACACCAACACTTTCAAAATTTGATAAAGCATACCAATACATGCACGTATAATCACACATTCATACCAAAACATACACATATATTAATACATACATACCTATACATGCATGTATATTAATACAGACATACTAATAGATACACATGTTCATACACACATACCAATACATACACATATCTCAATACATATATACCGATACATACGCATACGTTGATACATCATACCAATACATCCACATATACTAATACATACATACCAATACATACACATATATTAAAACATACATACCAATACATCCATATATATATATTAATATATACATACCAATACATACTCATATATTAGTACACATATCCCAATACAGACACATATATCAATACATACATACCAATACATACACATATTACACACATACCAACACATACATATTTATTAATACACACATACCAATACATACACATATGTCAATAATACACATATATTAAAACACACGTACCAAAACACATATGTTAATACACACATACCAAAAATTACATATCTATAATTACATACATTACAAGGCATACATATGTATTAATAAATATATACCAATGCATACACATCGATACAATAATAACAATACATCCTATCTTAAATATTGAAATCGATATATATATATATTCATAGTACAAAATCATATACATGAATGAATACATATCAATACATACATATGAATAGATAAAAATGCATTCATACATAATTTATTGTGGATATCATTACATAAATTTCAATCAATACGAATGCAAACATGGATATAGATACACATCTATTGTACACACNCAAAGTATATCATGGCNTAAAGACATATCAATATATANATATATA